TTCGCGCCGGGAAAGGATCGGCCTTCAAATGATGGGCGCGCGCGCGCGCGCGCACGCTCGCGCTTAGTGCCAAGGTCGAGGCTCCTCTCGCTATACTTCTTTCTAGGAACTCTCCTTTCTTCCCTTTTCACTCCATGTGATCTCTAGGCTGTTTGCGAGCACAGTGTCCCTCCTCCCGCCCTTCTATTCCCGGCATCCCACGATTCAAATTTATGGGGAATCCTTTTTCTCTTTGTTTTACTTTTCGCGAACCATCCTTAGGGCGGGGCCGTGCATTTTACGCTCGAGGTTCTTGACCCCGCACTGTGGCTACATTGTATTATGACTGTAGCGACGGACCGGGTTATTGGACCGCGTGAATAGTAGAAAATTACATATCTACATACGATTTTGTGATCCGTGCGCTGAAAATTCCTGTTTCTCTCTCTCTCTCTCTCTCTCTCTCTCTCTACCCCTTTCTCTCTGTCTTTTGATTTTATCTTAATGAGAAATTTCTAAAATGGCTGTTGCAAAATCATATCATTAAATACACATTATATTACTAATAGCATGTATGAGTATTTTTTAATATTATTTAATTATACATTGTAGAGTATTTCATGAACTATATAGAGGCTTCGAGCGCCGTGCGCGAAACGTATCACGCAGCATGTGATTGGATACGCTTCAATAATCGCGGCGCCTCGCGATTTATATCGCGCGTAATGGTCGGAATGGCAGAGGCGCCTCGCAAGCGGGGCGATCAATTATGTTAAGGGTTTAAGACATCTTGTTTATGTATTGCTAATTTTAAAAAATCGGATTATGGACATCGAACACAATAAACGTGTCAATAAGCGCAACAAACGTCGAATGGCGTGGCGAGAACTTATCGGGAGAAACTGCAGCGGACGAGTGGGTGTCCGCGCGAATGGTTAGATAGTTTAGCATCGGAAGACGAGCGGATAAGGCGTATGTGTGTGTGTGTGTGTATGTGTGTGTGTGCGTGCCTATGTATGTGCACGCTTTTCCGTTTGGTCCTCCTCGCCATCAACCCGGTCGACCCCGCGGGCCTCTTCTCCGCCCACGTAGCACAACGCGAGAGAGATCCTCCGTGTCTCTCGGACACTTAGAACGAGATAAATCTAAAGTGGACAGTATATACGCCCGGGCCCACGCGTAACCGGGCCTCGATCGCGTACGAGAGAGAAAGAGAGCACGAGGCTGTGTCGCTCTCTCTCTCTCTCTTTCGCCTCTCCTCTCGCGTTCTATTGACATGTTAGTCGTAAAAGGTAAAGCGCGCCGATAACACTCCGTAATGGCTTCCGTAATTTCAGAGGATGAGGGTCGGGTTATACCCGATGCGGTGACCAGATTTTTAAGCTGCAAAGCTGTTAGGGCTCCCTCCTTCCCCGTTCGCCTGCACGTCTCGCTCGGGATAATCCCCTTCTTCTCGACGGAAGGAGAGACGACAGCGTCTAATGCGCCAGTCGAAAACTGCTTTTAAATACCGCGACTAAAATCATCACTTTCAACCTCGGATGTTATTATTTCTCCTCTCTCCAACGTGATAATATTCCCTTCGTAAAAAAAATCCTTTGTTAGAGTCACGACCGGCGGGGCTACCTATCGTAGATGAAACTCAAGTCGCGGATGCCTCGACCTCGAGACTTCCGAAATTCCTAGTACGCGACAAAAACGACGGAGACGACGTCAGTCGTAAAATACGTCGCGTAATGTTATACATTTGCGAGAATTGCGAGAGAGAGAGAGAGAGAGAGAAAGAGAGAGTGACGAGGGAGGCAGAGGGAGAGACGAAATTAGCGGTTGGTCCTTCGAGAGTCCCGAACTTTATCTTAAAACCTCGAGCGGTTGAGAGAGAACGGAGCCGAGAGAGGATTGAAGGCGCGCGGCGCGATAGGTTGGAAGAAAGGGCGGAGAAGGTCGAGGCGGAGGACGAACAAGGTTCGTTTGCCCGCCTGCACACGTGCACCTATATGGTAATTCCTTTCGGTCGCGGCGGAGTGTCGAGAATTTGACGACGGGGGTACGCCATAAAAGTACGCCGGCCACAGAAGAGCGTATCGTGGAACATGCCACGGCATACGGGGGGAGAACGGGACGATCGTATCTTTCTCTTTTTCTCGCGTCTGAGCTGATTAACTCCGACACGCACAATATTCCCTGTATGACGCGTATGCATCTTTCGTTCTTTGGCACCGCACACGTAATTATTGCACTAAAATATAATTTGAGAGAGAGGATAAAAGAAAAAGGTAGGCGTCGCGAGACCACCTGCCGCGTGATAAATAACAGATTCTGGATCGTCCATTTAAACTTGATAGAATCGAGGAACAAAATTTGGATCTCTATATATATTTATTGTATTCTGAGAATAATTGAAGACGTAGATTGGCTACCCAAATTTTTAGCAATAATCTGTTTTACGTTTAAAAAAAAAATATATATATATGTATACAATTTTTAAATTTCTTTCCACAGCAAAATGGAAAATTTTGTTTGAAACTAAAAAAAATAGGAAAATTGAGGATAGATCAGAGATATTTTGCATGCCCATTTTATCATCGTTATTTCACGAGGTTTGCAATCACAGCGTTCGAGAAAGGGTCGAGAAGCAATGTCTCAGTTATTGGTCATCGGCTAGGCGGGGATACCGGGTGACTTCGAGAACGTCCGAGCCAGGTATTGCTCTCTTGGCGTGGGTTTCGGGATACACACGGGCGGGCATATTCGACCGGTCATTGTCCACCTAGCGATAACGTCGGCCGGCCGTATACGTCTGCGTCGCGACTCGCAATCTGTATCGGTTTTCAGCGCGCTTTGTTCGAACTCGATATCTCTCAGGTTTTTTAAATACAATCGAGAAAAGAAGTAAGCTCTCTCTCTCTCTCTCTCTCTCTCTCTCTCTCTCTCTCTCTCGATGAGCTTATCATTATCATTATCTCCATAATATGCCTCTCAATATCTTGCGCACCAAGGTAATCGCGCTCGCAGAATAGCTTCCTCCCACTGCCGTAACTCCTTGAGTACATATGTAATTAACGCAGTTTGGATACGGGATAAATATTGAAGCAGTACATAGAGAGATAATGGAGCCAAGGTCTTATACTCTCTCGCGGTCTACTGTGCGAGATAAATTGATGCCATCTCTCTTTCGCATCGCCGCTGCTCGCTCCGCAATGGAGGATATATACTTTTTTCTTTTTCTTTCGCAAACGTGCGTGTGGCGCATTTTCCTAAGATTATTCGATACTGCGTTTCCGTTACGCGGACGCGTTTCCTGCGTTTTTCGCAACGAGTGGAAAACGTATAGTTTTAGATTCGCGATTTCAGCACGCAGGTGTAAGTACGGTTTCGTCTTCGGGTCACGCGATAAATAAATATATAGGTGAATAGGCTGTAGGGTTTCCGATCGTGCGGTTCGCGAATGCGCGTGCACCCCCCGGACAGAGAGACCGGCGACATTGCAAAAGTCATGAGGATCTTTTTTAAACCGCAGCCCGGCCGGCCGGGCGCTCGTGCAAATCCTGGACGCGACCGCGTCCGGGTTTGTCGCCCACTTTTGCGCTCCCGCGGCCGCAGGTGTGTCGCGGTAGCGGGGCAACGTGCTCCTCGGGGCTTTTTCGCCTGTATACACCGTTATACAGCGTGTCCCGAGATTCAATAAACCCACCGTCTGCAGCCGTCTATAACGGCGTCCGTTGAAAAGCTCGGCATCCCAAGACAGTTTCCTACGAATCGACCATTGAGAATCAACTCTTTGGAGAAAACTCCACCGTTTCCCCTCTTCTTTCTTTTTCTATAAAACGTAGCTTACGCGATGGATTGCACTCGCGATTGCAATATCTAATTTGCGTGATCGAGGTGATCGAAATTACAGTCAAGCTAGAGAGTTGCTAATAATAATGTCATTATTTCCGGAGAGAGGCGAAGAAAAAGAAAGAGAGAGAAGGAGAGAAAAGCAAAGCACGGTTGTGTCTCCATTTCTTTGAGTACTCTCTATTCATTGCTGCGACGCACGGAATAATCGCGGTTGAAATCCGACGAGGTCCGACGTCTTCCAACTCAATTTTTCATCGTTCGCGATACGTACATTTGCGAACACCCGGTGGATCTGTCTACGACCGGAGGCCCCAGCCTACTGCGTGCCGGCCTACGTATATATGCGGGTATCTGCCTGCCTGCCTACCTACTTGGTTCACCGATTCTCGCCGGTATTCACGACGAAAATGCGTACCCACGTCTCGGACTCGGTTGCGAGGCAGACTCTGCTCTCCCGGCACGGCACGGCACGGCACGGCACAGCACGGAACAGCTCGGCTCGGTCCGACGGCGTGCCGTTCAGGTATACTCGGCTTGTCTCGACTTCCGGTCGCGGTAAAGGTGTGCCTAGGCGGAGTTATACCCACGCGACCAGACGCCGACGATCGATGGCGAAAAAAAAAAATAACGAAAAAAAAAAATAACTAAGAAAAAGAAGACCTACAGAAAGTCGCGCTACTAATATGCCGAAGCTTTCCGCTCGCGGGATAGACCTGTCTCTCGCGTCGTTAAATCGCCCGCTCGGGCATCCGTCACGACGCTAAATCAAACGAACGCACACGCGTATACGAATGTGGTGTCGCGTTACTATATCTATGGGGGAACGGGAGGAAGCTACGGCAGGCAGAGATCCCCGATCTTTTTCGACTTTGATCGTATTTTGTTCGGATCGTAAATCTGAAAATAAGCACTCCTGTATCAGCGAAATACCTTTGCGTTAGTGAAACGATTCTTTGGAGTCTGAAATTCCTCGGAGCTTGTCCTTTAAACGCGTGTAATATATTCTTAGGAATTGATTAAATATTTACAAGTGGGACAAGTTGTGTGTCGCGTGGAATACATGTAACATGTGGACGATTATCATTCGATCATTGCGAGCGCCGCATTCCTATATTCATTGCAAAATATATCGTATGCTGTTTCTCTAATTGATTAATATATTAATTCGATCGTTCCAGTTCGTTGACTTGGGCATGGTAACCAGTGTAGAATACAATCATAAGCCCGTGGAATCGGCTAGAAAAGGCCAAGAGGTCTGCATCAAAATCGAGCCTGTGCCAGGAGAAGCACCCAAGATGTTCGGTCGTCATTTCGAGGCGAAGGACTTCCTCGTCAGCAAGGTAAGTAACATCAATCATTAATTTATTAATCTAGTCCTATATTAAACGCAGAAGGAAATTGTGGTACATGAGAAAAATTTTTCGAAATTGAAAAATCGAACGTAACCGCGAAAAAATGTGAATATGAGATCTTTATTTAGCGATAGTTTATTATAGGTCGTTATACAATTAAGCAACTTTAATTCTGTTTTTCAACGCACAGTAATCAAAATCTACTTATAATTTCATGGTAAATTTATTGCAATCGAATATTAGATATCGCGGGTAAGTCCAATCGATTAGATTTGAGTTCGGCGATCTCATAATTAGCCTGTTGAATTGTATATTACTCTATTCGCGCTACAGACAGCGCGAGATCGAGAGAGGCGCGCCGAGTTTTCGCCTTGACGCAAATTCGACTTAGTATGCGAGACCTAGATCGAAAAAGGAAGATGAACATCCGGCGGCGATCGCTCGTCCGCCGTCGGCTTCCGGCCTTCGTAGAAGCTCGCTACCTTTTCCCCTCCGCGTCTCTCTTTCCCTCCTCCCTCCACTCTCTTGCCACTCTTCTTCCTTTTTCGTCTTTCTCCTTCAGGCGAGGATATCGACTATGGGACGAGTTCGGCCCCGCGTTCGCTCGGATACCTCTCGTCGCTCGCACGCGCAAATAGTTCTTCACTTGGGCGATTATTATTAATTACACCCGCATTTTCATGCCGTGGGCTGCGAAAGAGCTGAACGCGAGAATTAATGCGCGTACAGGATGTCTTATATTTAAGTAAAGCGGATGTTCAGATGTGCTGTATAAGCAATAATAATAGACAACATTGTAGAAAATAGGAACAGACACTTTATTTAATAAATATATAGTTAGAAGAAAAAATTCAGATTAGATGAATGAATCAGAAATTAAAATTCTATATACCACGCACGTGTTCGGGTACGCGGAAAGGATTAATGAAGGACTAAAGCGGGACTGAGCCGGATTAAATTTCAATTACTCCGTCGCCGTTACATTATTCCCGTGGAAATGTGTGTAAAGACTGTTGCGATCGTTAATTAAGACGGATGTTTCTTCTTCTTCTTTCTCCTGTGAGAAACGGTACTGGTGCCTTTTCTTCATACAAACCGACGTTTCATCTTCATTCTTTTCCCCCCATCTCCCGTCCCCTCCCCCCCCCCCCCCGGTCCCTTTCTACCCTCCTCGCTCTTCCTTCTCTTTTCCGCGGGCCTCTTTCTATCGTCGTCGTGCTTCAAGCACCTTCCTGTGCTTTGGTAGGCAAGCGGAAGTCGTCGTTACCGTTTGGTTCGTGGAATCAGTTCCGGAAGTATCTTGTTCCCACGACGATTCCTCCCGAAGCCGCTGATCCGTCGACACGTCGGCTCATACGGGCGAAACAGAGCCGAACGCTTTTGCTTTTCAACGCCCGAGAAGAAAATCCGCCTCCGAAAGATACGAAGGGAGACACGAAATCACGAGTAAAATAGGGCGAGAGCAAACATTTATTTTTTACTTCAAACATTCATGTTTTTTTTTATCGCAGGATTTTTTCTGCTCGAAGATCAACTTTCGCTCCTATGTAAGCAAGAAGCTATATAAAATCTGTGAAAAAAAATATAAGCATGAGGTACAAATTATGTACATCATTGTGTTAGTTCGGTTATTTATTCTTCAGAGAAAGGATTAGCCAACGCAATTAAAATATTACTGTGATAATGAAATGTAGATAAAATGCGTCTTGAAAATAGGGACAGGTTGTTGCCAAAGGTAAATTTATTTACTTAAAATTTAGGCGCTATAAAAAATATTTTGCTGCTAGAATTAATTAATTTTAACTTAATAAAAGTTGTATCTTGCAACAAATATATTTTACCTTTAACTTTAAGCTTTTCCGTGAGGGAAAACTTTGAACTAAGCTATTGACTTTTAGCTGATAATATTAAGTTTCTTTACGTGTTACGATAATAAAATATTGCGAAATGTAGAAAAACAAGGTACTTTTAAATGCAAATAAATTCTTATGAAAACTATAAAAGATATAGGAAACGTAGAACACATCGTCGTTTCATTTTAAGCCGCCTTTAATTTTAAACAAATATTTTCGCTCTTCTACTTTCGGCTAAGGGATTCGCTTCACTTATATCGCGAGCACACACGGAACAATATTTCTCGCCGCACTTTTCGGAGGATGCGTTTATTTATCCGACTGCGGGGAATAGTCCGTTTCTAATCTTGGCGGAGGCGGCAGCGGCGGAAAGAGAAAAGTAGATCACGGAAAATCGCGATCGAATATTGCGAACTTTACGTTCGTTAAAATTCGCCGACGGTGTATCTCGGAATGATCGATCGACGCGGCACGTCCGCGCGATCTTATCGCGACGTGTTCGTCACGCAGGCCGAAATTGCATAATAACGTCCGAGGCCGCGTAATCGCGATCGCGAGCTTCGCGCGAAAAACTTAAACTTTCAAATTAGTTCTGCGCTTTGCGCCGTCGGTGAAATTTTTTATGATTACCGCGAACTGTTGTATATTCAACATCGTTCCGCGTATACTTTACAAGCTGTAATATGGAGGAGGAAGGGAGGGAAACACATGGGGGGCGAGGATGAGAGAGAGTGAGAGCGTAGAAGAATGAAGGATAAAGAGAGGCAGAATGAGAGGCGGCGGGGAGCGAGGGAAGCTAGAAGGGGCGTGGCGGGAGGCAGGCGTCCTCAATAGCCGCGTAAAACCACCATTGTGACCGATCCATGAATGAAACGGGACTTCCGGCCGGGAGTGGGGGCGGAAACAGTTGTGAAGCGTTACGTTTCCGAATGGTTCGACGTGCGCGCGCACGCATACACGCACACACAACCACGCCGGGTTCTTCTATTCCTCTGTTTGCGAAAAGCCGCGCCACGTGAAAATCGGCCACGCTACGCGTTAAAAACGCTCTTTGAGAAACGCACGGCGGGACAGTTTTGCCGCGTTACGGAGAGCTGCCGCGCGGTTAACTTTATTGAGATTTTGCTTTTAACAGATCGGGCCCTGCCTGCCACGTCACACAAATGACGCTCGTGTTTCCGTTACAAGTTGCGTCATTCGAAACGTGTAACATATGACGCTATATTTTTCCCCGCTTGATCTACGACGTTCGCGGATGAATGGTGTCACAGTCTACTCTCAAGTCCTCATACTCGGATTATCCGATCTCGATCGCCCGATTATTCGTGTCACCAAAGTTCTCGATCCTTGGACTCGATTTAACTTTAAGATGTTACGGATATGACGTTTCTCTTTCTGGTCCTTCTTGCATCGCGTATACAATTTAATTTTATATAACACATTCATTCTATTATTACTATTAAACATAAGTTAATCGCTACTTAAAAATCCGCTTGTAGAATTTGAGAAATGAAATTCTAACGTAAAATTAGAGTAGGCATTCTTTTTGATTGAAGATAAATATGTGAGTTAAAATATACACAGATTCTCGTTTTAATCTTTTATTTTGCAGTTAGAGCGGAAGAGAAGGATTTCTTTTTATTGTTTTATTTACGGACGGGAAATCTCTGTAAGTGGCTCACACGTTTTATCACCCGATAACGAAAGCGGCATTTCTCGAACTGTTACAGATAAGCAGGCAGAGTATAGACGCCTGCAAGGATTACTTCAGGGATGACCTACTGAAGACCGATTGGCAACTCATGGTGGAACTGAAGAAGCTCTTCCAGATACTCTAGGATATGATGAGGATTGCGACGGCGACACTGTCCAAGGGCCTCTTTGCTTTTCCGGCGGCTGTTCGACGAGAAAATCGGGGTTCGTCGAACCCGAGCGAACGTCTCCTCGATCGTCGTCGCGACATCGCCGCCGCGAGATAACGCGTTGGTGATGCGGCATGCTCGAAAGTATCTCCCATTCCAAACGCGGATCGACGTCTCTCTCGTTCCTGTTCGCGTGCATACGAAGGATTGCCGAAAGTTGTAAGGCCATCGGACGAGCATGCCGCGAGAAGAAGAGATGCGAAGACAATCTCGTGCTCGCCGGCGTCCTTGGAAGCGCCACGCGCGGCTTTCGAGGACGATCGAAGACGGGGAGGAGACGCGATCGCATCGGATTCTGCGATTGCGTTCGGAGTATTTATGGAGTACCGCGAAAACGGTACTCCCGTGTCTTGCCAACGAGCAGGAAGAGAACGTAGCTGGGGTCGCATCGGAGAGGAAGCTTCTTGGAAGTGCGCGATCGCGAGAAGGAGGATGATCACTCCGGATGGGACGTCGTGGGCAACGACGTTGTAGATACGCGGAATGGAGGAAAACAGACGAGTCGGGAGAGAAGAGGAAGAGAGAGGAGAGAAAAGGGTGGAACAGAGGAGAGGGTGAGAGGGGGGGGGGAGACGAATATGCGTGGTGCTGATGAACGAAATAATCGCACGAGAAATCGCTCGTGTGTTTTATATAATGTAATCTCTTTATATAAGACAAGCGCAGTATTGCGGGGTGGAAAATAAAGACTACGCGTTTTTCGCAAAAAAAAAGGAGAAAATAAAAGAGAATGGGAGAAAAAAAAGGATATCTCTTTTACGCGCTAGTACGCGCGTCGGCTTGTACCCGAGGACACTCCGCTTTGTCATCCTTTCCAGGTAACCTATCCATTTTATCCGATTTATTCACAACTGTTAATAAGTATACATCTTTTAGAAATGAACTTTTCGCATTTTGATGAGAAAATATTTTTCAACGACGATAATTTATCATTTCGCGCGAGTGAAAATTTTCATTCAGTTTTTATTTTTAATGTTTTTTTTTGCACTACTACTTTTTCTATTGAACTTTTGTTGAACTTTCAACTTTTTTTCTGAGAAGAATGTGTGAGAAAAACAGGCTACTTTGTATTCACTGTCACGATGTCAACAAAATTTATGTTTATTTGACCGCCGCCTGCTGTCCATTGAGAAACGTCGAAGCCGAGCGACTAGGCGTAAATACATTGAAAAACTTGAACAAAACCCTCATCCGGGAAAAGGGCCCACAATCCTATTTGGACCCTTCTTCCGACTATATCACCTCCATTACACGTTCCTTTATTAAGACTTTCGACGATACGTACACCCCGACCGTGGGAACGCGCGTTTTTAATTGGCCGAGAGTGGCAATAACGCCGGAAAGAAACTCGAGAAATAAATCGACGACGACGACGACGAGGAGGAGGCAGAGGAGGAGGACGACAATGACGACGACGATGACGTGTAACGTTACGCAGTAGATCGCATATCGTTCTCGAATTCTCTCGCGAGAGCCGCCCTCCCCCCTCTCTTCTTTAGCGCTACCGGAAGCGTAATAATAGATCGCGGGTGTGTTAGGATCGATTGTGTCGTCGCGCGATCGAAAAAAAATCGACGTCGCGACGTCGAAAATCATTCCACGAAGTCGCTGTATATCCGCGCGAAACGCAGACTCACTTACGTAAGTCGTAAGTTTTAATCGGTTTATCCGAATCCCCGTATCCCTCCCTCCCTCCCTCGTCACCGATGTGATTCTGTCTCGCGTGTGGCGCGCTACTCCTACCCGTATTATCTTACACACATCGATACACAGCGATACGTGCGTGCGCGCACACATACACACTCGCGCGTTTCCTCTGTTTCTCTCCCCTTTCCTCCCTCCGAACAGCGTCCTAAGTCGATGCCGTAAGATACGAACCACCGATCAACATGAACAAACGGTAACGTGAATGATAACGCGAGAAAATAAATTCTAACTGTCTTTGCCTAGCTAGATTTTTTTAAAAAAAGACTATCGCATTATCTACTTCCGTTACTGAAGAGAGAAAGATAAAACTCAATTATCTCCACTATAAAATATCTTCGATATTAATCTTTTCTTATCGAAGTTTTATAATTATAACCAAGCAAAAATCGAGAGAGCCGCTAGTAAAATATCTTTCGATACATCGCCTTGTATATATTTATCAAATTCTATGCGCATGAATTATAAAATTATACAAATTTAAAATATTATATATATTATTGGATATTTTATATTATATTATTATCGTTTATATCTTACAAAATTGTTAAGAAATTATCAACAATTATCATTGATTTATCAATAATCCCCGTTCGGCCGATTGCTTATCATTAATTTTTGTGCGTCCAACGACTTGATTCCCGTCGATTGAAGAACCGGCTCTCGTCCGAGCTGTTCGAGTCCGTCGCTGGTCGGAGTCAGAAAATATGTCGTGTCCTTGCTGGGAGCAACCGAGAGCGCGAGAGCCGGCAGGCCGCGCTCAATAAACGCGCACGTCATTTCGAGTCATTCATGCATCTGCAGGTTGTCCTCGCGTCTCTCTCTCTCTCTCTCTATCTCATTGTGATCGCCGCTCATGTGCGAGTGCAACTGCGTTGCGCACGTGCGTGCTCGCGCATTGGCCGTGCGTCTCGACGGTCCGAGATCGCGTAGATCACCTGGTTGGCATTTACGCGAGATCGAACGACCGGCGGACGGCGCGTCGCGATGCGTCCGCCGTCACCGTTCGCTAACGTAACGTGACGAGGAACGTTAATTCGACGCGACGCTCTCAGGACAACTCTCGGAAACGGCGACGGTACTAGGCGGTTTTTTGTTCTTATCTTTAAGAACGGATAAGACAACGTCCGATAGGTCCAAATTTCGTTCGCACGAGCAAGAGTAGTCTGCAATATACTATGATATACAGAGTATCTCTGAAATGAGTTGACAGTCTTGGGAATGCTTTTATCTTAAGAATGAAAAGTTGTTGTTTCAAATCCTATCTATTTTTAAGAATAGAAATTCTTTTTTTTAATCATCGAGATAATATATATCTGAAAATTACATGTGATATGTTAAACAATGCCACGTACTACAACGCCACGTGTTTCAGTGGGAATGTAGTATCAGCAAGCCTCGAGAGAGAAATATGTAAGAAAACGTGGAGGGAGGAAGGGAGAGAGGAAGAGTGGGAGAGGAGGGAGAATGTAATTGTGAAAATGAGGGTAACATTTCGCCACTGCTATTCCGAGTACACTAACTTCTTTATACCGCCCGAATGACTTACTTAATTAGAGGCAATTAACCTCCGCAATTGCTGAAGGCGATGGCGCAGGAAAATACGGGGAGGGACGAAAGGGGATGGGTGTAGTCGGGAACGTTTGCGTCTTTTTCCGATCTTAACGTTACACTTGGGATTTACTTTGTGCGAATACCGAACAGAGGGAACGCTGTAAATTCAGAGCTCTCAAAAGAAACATTACCGAGACGAATGTACGTCTTTTTACCATCGTCAGATTTTCCCATTTTCATTATTAAATTCCAATACATTTCTGGTTATAACTAATAATAAGAAGAACACTGGAAATCTTGAATTGAGTTCCGCGTTAAAACCGTAAAATCAAGCGAAAAATTACATCAGTCGATTGCGAAAAGGCATTTAAGTTTGATCTTGGAAAACCTGCAGCCGTTCATAAATCTACGTCTGACTTGACTCCGAGGTTTCCCTCCGGAGAAAGGAAGAGAATGCGAGAGCCTGGAAGGAGCCCGGTAGGACCACGCTCGATCGAAAGGGATTTTTACGGATGAACAAGCATGAATTCCGATCCGGTACGTCCTGTTCACGAAAAGTCCCGTCGTTGTATTTCATCCAGCGTAAAACTTCCGACGTGAATGCGACTGTTCGTCGACTCATTGAGGACGCGCTGTTACAGCGCTATGAAAGAAGGGCGATGTTGGAGGGGGTCGGAGGGAGACAGAGGAAGTGTACACGCGGTTCTAGGGAGAAAGATGGAGAGAAAGAGCATGAAAGTGAATGAGTGAGAGAGATGAAGTGAGAAAGAGAGAGAGAGAGAGCTCAGCAAGAGGGCTGAATGGGAGGGGGAGCGTTTCCACACCGGATATCCTCTCGAGGGAAGCGGTGCACGCGATTCGCATCGCCGCCACGCCCGTGTGGCGTGTAGATATAAACGTCGCCGCTCGTATTACTAACAGTATAAATGGCCGAGGAAAGGCGACCGGAGACTGCGACGATTGGATTGAAATTGTTCAGCCAGCGCGAGATACCTCTCTCACCGAGCGTGAGCGATGCAGGACGACAGCGTATCGTTCCGGCGAAATGTCTTCCCCATTTTCTTATCGCCGGCATATCGGTTCTGGCCTCGCGAATTCAATGATTGTTGGAGATAATCCTGTATAATAAATATACCAACGTGATATTTTATTAAAAGACAATTTGTATGTAATCAGTATATTTATATTATAAAGTATGATTAACGCATGGAAATGGTATCGAAAATTTGACAATTTATTCGGACTAATTTCCATATTTTTTATTCCGTGCGAATCAGTTACAGATGTTCCTTGTTATATTATCATGTAATATCGATAGATCAGCTTTTTATCGAAACAATACGAAATATAAAACCGGTCGATCACCGTTTCCTCTGCGTTTTTCAGATTTGTCTGCGACGACTTTGTACGTTTCGAAGAAGAAACAAGAGTGATGGACTCTCTTGAGTGAGTCCTAACACGTTCCCCGTACTGTTGCGTGAATCACGAATCGGCCGATGAACATCGCGGCTACGGGCAACGAGGAAGCGCGTTTCGCCGCTTCTCGGAACAAGGTATGTCATATTCCGCCTCCGGTCCGGAACGATGTTGTTCCGCCGACGATTCGCCGAAGTGCACCGTCCCGACGATGACGACGAAGATGAAGCGAATCCTAAGAGCCGTCGCTTTGTGCGATGTTAGATTTCGGATGCGATAAACGTCAAAGTCGCGCGGATAGACTTAACTATCCATTAATTAAATTGACCATTTGAGAGAAATACAATATTTATAAACGAGCGTTATTACTGGAAGGATTACTTTTTTACTTTCTTACATATTTTTAATATTTATTTTAAATATGCTAAATATTAAAAAAATGATATACATATATTTAAAAATATATTTTTAGTGATTTTTCTTTGAAAATTTTTTTCGAGCGGACGTGACGTCACGTTAAAATTATACAAGTGAATACTGAGATATTTATCGTATCCAAAGTATGGTATCGCAAAAGCTACTAAGCTAATAGGCAGCGGCAATACTCGGGGGACCTCTGCACCCCTCGCGGCCACTTTCGGACAGGTGCGCGCCTTGGTGTCAAATTCGCAAAGACCATAGGGTAACCCAATACCCGTTGGGGACCTTGGGGGTACCTGCCCACACGTACGTGTACGCACGATACGATGGCGTTCTCGCGCGTACTGCCTTATTAGATAAGCCGAGGGAGCTCGTCAAGCACGCACTTTATTACTCCCCGCAAAGAAGACTCGTTTAATTGCCATTTTTCTCTTATAATATCAGAAGAACGCGTTTTTTGAACGGCGATATCGGGTAGATATGTACTATTTTTTAAAGCGCTTTGGCTCGAAGAGTAAATCGGAAATTCGGCGTCGATCCTGCGAATTTCTCGGAGCATTTCGTTACATATACACACATTGTGTAACAATATCTCTTCCGATTATAAAAATCCAAATTCAAATGTATAATGTATTGCCGGCGAGGTGTTAA